AGACTTTGGCCACACTAACTTTGTCCCTCTCCTCACACAGACCAAGTCGAAGCCCAAGCGGGTCAAAGCGCTGTACAACTGTGTGGCTGACAACCCGGACGAGCTGACCTTCTCTGAGGGAGATGTGATTGTGGTGGACGGGGAGGAGGACCAGGAGTGGTGGGTGAGTCGGGGTGGGCCCGGGGGGGGCCTGGGAGCCTGAGAGGCCCGCTCACAGTGAGGTGCTCAGCTGAGCATCGTGCCCTGGTGCCAGCACCCTCTGGTGTCACTCTGTGTGGACAGCTACTTCTGAGGAGCCTCATTTATGCCTGGCGGACTCCTGTCTTGTTTAGGTGGGCAGGGCACTCAGGCTGCAGTTTGCCAGAGCACCCCGAGGACCTGAAATGAGACCCCTGTACTTGGAAACCTCGACTTTGCAAGTTAATGATCCCCATGGCCAGAGCAGTATAGCTCCTCCAGTGGAAGGCGGCCTCAGGGCAGAGCCCCTAGGGCTGGGCTGGTCCTAAGGCCTCCTGGTGCAGGAGGAGGGTGGGCACAGGTCCTCCCCCAGGGGTCCTAGAAAATCAGACTCTGCCATTGATGGACTGGGGCCTGGCTGACACCTCTGTGAAAGGGAGTTGCCCACGGCCCTGTGGCAGAATGACATGATGACCCCCTGGAGAGGCAGGGGTCCTCAGCTGAGGTGGAGGATTCCATAACTGGAAGGAAGTACATGCGTAAAGCGCCAGGTGGCCTCTGCCCCCTGGTGGTTACGTAGGCCTGGCTCTGTAGCCTGGTCTCAGAGACCAGACAGCTCAGCTGATGCCATGGACACGATTCAGCGAAGTTGCTTTACTTTGTCAAATGCAAGGAGTCTTGACGCTGCCCCTAGTTGCCATCCCCAGCAGAGCTGCCGCCCTTTTCCACCCTGAGTTCTCTGCCTCCAGGGCCTTTGGTCTCTCAGCCTTGTAGCACTGCCATTGGCTATGTCCACCCATCTTTCTGGGGCCTTGGGCCTCTGAGAGGTGAAAAGTGCTTATGGGTCAAGGGCTCCTTCTGTCTTCTTTGCCCAGCACAGGCAGCAGCAGGAGCGCAGCTCTTGGTTCTGCTGGGCTCCAGGCATGTGGCTGGGCTGGGTAAGGAGCCAGTGGGCAGAAGGAAACAGGTCTGGTCTGGTCCTATCCCTGCCGACAGCCCACCGTATGGATGGGACTCCAGCCAGGCAACAGGCTTAGCCGTACAGAAAATGCCTGTTGTCTCCAAAGCCTTGGAGAATAGAAAGGTATAATGAAGAAAGAAAATGTTGCCCATAACCAGCCTGTCCTCCTAAAAAACCCTATATATATAAATTGTAGCTGGACACAATACCTTTATTTATTTACTTACTTACTTATTTATTTATTATGTGGTGCTGAGGATCGAATCCAGTGTCTCACGCATGCGCGGCAAGTACTCTACCACTGAGCCACAACCCCAGTCCCACCACCATTTATATTTTGACAATTTTCTTCTAGGCTTTTATTTGCCTTCGTAATTTACATTGTTGAAATCATACTTGGGTCTAATTTATATAATCTACCCAGAGTAAAAAATAAATGGGTTTTTCTTGAAGCTTTCCACAAATGCATGGTGAGATTTAAATGAACACCTTGTCCACATCCTATGACTTTGCAGCCAACAGACTTCTAACAGTTTCAGAACTAGGGAGTGGCTCAGTGGTAGGGCATTTTAGCATGTGCAGGGCCCTGGTTCAATCCTTAGCACCCCACCAAAAAAAAAGAAAGAAAGAAAGGTCGAGACAAACTTCTGACAGTTTTTTCATTCACTAAAAATAAGGTAAGTGGGGAGTGGTGACCAGCCAGCACCCCGCATGCCCCCAGCATTACCCACACATCTCAGGGTCATGTGAGGTCCTTGAGTGTGGGAGCCACACTCTATTGCAAACATGAAGGGGAGCAAGAAAGAAAGAATAACGTTAACACAGCTGTTCTACCCAGTCAGTCTTTGGCAGCAGAAATCATTCTGAACACAGGTATCCTCTTCCCAGGCCTCCTTTTCAAGTGCTATAATGCTCTCCAAAGCTTCTAAATTTGAAATTTTTGTAACAATCCAAATTTTTATTCATTTCAGATTGGCCACATCGATGGAGATCCCAGTCGCAAAGGAGCATTCCCTGTATCATTTGTGCACTTTATTGCTGACTGAATTGCTACTGAACAAAAGCCTTTCCTTAACAGTTATGTTCTTGTTTCATTACTGGTACCAAAATTCTTGCCAGAAAACCCGTTTTCATGGTAGCTCATTTTCTCTCACTGTTAAGTTTTAAGAGTTCAAAGGCAATTTTATATATATTAAGTGAATTGTTTTTATAATTTGTAGTTTTCATGAAACATTGCTATACTTTTATTAGGAAAAACTGAATTTCATAAAAGGTGAACTGAAGTTATTTTAACTACATAATTGAGATCCTGCATCTGTAGGATGCATCTACTGCTAAACTTACAAGATGGTCAATGAGGAATATTGAAAATTATTCCTGCTTTCCTTGGCCCAATTCTGGAGTTGTGACCAGTAGCATGGTTATTATTTTAGGAAGCCAGTAAACTGCTGCTTCAAAAGTCCTGGACTCTCCTTAAAATGCCATCAGTTCACCTTTAAAGACACTTATTCTTTTGAAACCCACCCAGTGTCCATTTAAAGCAACTTGGAAATTTACATATTAGCCTTGTACTTTCTAGCCCTAACCTGTGAGGTTGCACCCATCACGGCTTCTGCATGTGTTTATGATCTGTTGTGAACAATCAAACTTAGCAGAACTACTGATGGGTTATTACAGCAAACAGTCATAGAAGTTCATGCCATTCCAGGAGGTTATATAAACTGCATTTCCTGAAATTGGTTAAAAACTAAGGATGATGGATTGCAAAACAGTTCTTTAAACTAGCTTCTATGCTGTAGGTGTTTTGGAATTTGCCTTCTTCAACTTCCCCTATCATTCAAGAAAGCAAATGTACACAAGTAGAATACTGTGGCTCAGACCCCGGAACAGAACCGCGTTCCCTGCTGTTTCCTGTAGTCACTGCCTTCCCTTCCTAGCTTGCGAGGACATTCACTCAGCTTAGTGTCTTGTATTTATATAATATGCCAACAGGAATGGTAGCTACACTGTAAGTCTTGAAATCTAACCTGTCCCTTTGTTTGTACTCAAGAGCATATCAGAAATCTGTAGGTCCCAGGTAATACAGTTCTCCCACACATCCCAGTTCTACTATCTAAGGCCATCATGTCACTCCTGAACGTACACTACTTGGGGAAGGGGTGGGAATTACGTTATATGCGGTAGAATCAAAACTCATTAGTTTAATGAACTTGACTGTCATACCTCTAGTAATCATGAGCATAAGATTCATAGTAGGATTATTGGAAATTTTGGCACTCTTTCAGAATAAATAGGCATGTGATGCCCACTTGGACTTGGAACAAAAGTAAAGGAATAAATTTATAGGCTTGGAAAGCAAGGCAAAAGTGCTCTTGTTGCATTTGTTATGATGGTACATTTGATTGAAGCAGCTTGTCTTTTTATTATACAAGACTCTTACGTGTGGAGTCTCTTTTTTTCCCCCCCTTGGCGTGTTTTGTTTGCTATGATCAAGGAAGACACAACAAACTGGAATGTTGTATGATGTTGTATAGCAATTGCTTTTTGCCTTTCAACATTCCAGTAAAAACGTGTTCTATCTGTAAGCCTTTTTTTTTTTTTTTAAAGCACTACATCTATTTTCACTACTTGTTAATTTCTGTTCTGTTGTTTGAACCCTTCACTTGGCCAACTTCTCATAGATTTAAGAGTGAACAGATGTATTTTGCACAGCGCACGTCTCCTAACTGGGGAACAACCTCCCGCATCTGTACCTTATCGTCAGCCTCTGACGACCTGGTGCCTGCTAAGCAATCAAGTTGACTCACACGAACATTTGAACTCCAGACCCAAACCAAACACCAGGTTCCCTGGTACATGAATTCCTAGGAAATATTTTTCCAGTCTACAATTTGGTGGTGCTATTGTGCAGTAATTAATAATACTTTTGCCAGAGGAGAAATTCTATTAATTTCCCTACTAGTATCCTTTCCTAGTTATTTGCTCTTTGCAAATTCAAAAAAAAAAAAGGAAAAAAAACTGAGAAAGGAAACACTGTAGATATCTATTTAAAGTTTACGTTTCATAAACTTCAGCTGCAGGATTCTGGCATTTGGCATGCCACTTTTCCACCAGGTCTGATTTCTAGGGATGGCGACTCAGAAACAGGTGCACAGATTAGTCGTTCCTGTGGGACCTGTTAAGGGCGGATATGGACACGCAGCCTAGAATGCTATTTTGAGATGTATGATACTCAATTCATTAACTTGATTACTTTGGTCTAGTTGCAGCGCAACTGTATATATTGTATAACCTAAACTGATTCTTATTTTCATTGTCCTTAATGCAGTGATGTATAATTAGAGCATGTTTAATTCAAGTTTACTCTTCTTGTTAACTAGTCATTTGACTGGAAAAAAAAATAAAGTACTTTTAAATGGATGTGGTCTTATTTTTAATCTTTAAAGTGTTAAATATTCAGTCCTTTTTTAAAAACAAATAAGTATACTAGTGCACTATTCATGAGATCCTTTAAACATATACGTTTAGCATGAGTAGTAATCTTTTAAAGTGCTCTTAACTCTGAGATAAACACGTATAATCTTGCCAACACACTCCTGAAAATTTACTTCATGTCTTAAGTTGACAGTGCCACTGTTCCAAGCCAGCATGAGCTCTGCCTGCCTCTCCCTCCAAACCAGTGATACCATGTCACTGGGAAGCCACATGGGGTGGGGTTCCTCAGTCTTCCTCAGGCATATCCTCCATATTATTCAGAGGGAACTTACATGACGCTTCAGTGTCAAGCTGATTTGCATTTTCAAATGACTGGATGGGGTTCTTTTACTCCCAGAAAGTAGATAGTTCATTGAGAGTCAACTCACATGTTTAATTAGACATATTTTAATACAAAAACAAATAGTCAATAGTGTAGACATTGCACTTTCTTCAGAAAATTGGAGCAGGGCATCACCTCATCTTTCTGTAATAGTTCAGCATTGCAGATTGAAAGCAGATGAGAGAAAACAGCTGGACTCTCGGGTGAGGTTGGCTTCCTTCGCCTGAGTGCAGAGTTCAGGATTTCTCAGAGGTTAACACGGCGTCAAACGCAGTGGACAAAACTTTGCAGATTGCCTGTGCTTGTTCCTGTGTTGCACAAGAAGGTGCAGTAAGAGTGGAGCGCACACGTCTCTTCCTAAACCTGGCCTGACCAGCAGGGGCCTCACCTGGCCCTTTAAACAGGTTTCTCTTCCAACCCTACACCTCAACATGTGCCCGTGCCTGGAGCTCCCCGCCACATGGGCCCCCTTCCTAGGAGCAGTGCAGACAATAAACAGCACTGTGCCTGAGAGCAGGGTGAGGACCACACACAGGAATGGAGGGAGCCTCTGGTGACAGAGGGCACACTCTTCCTCACCCACTTAATGTTTACTGAGAATGTTAGGTTCAGGCACAGGTGACTCCTGGACCTGCCAGAAATAAGCTGGCAGCCTGCCGAATGCCTGGACACCTACCTGGCTGCCCTAAGCTCCTGGGTGCACGCACTCATGAGGCCAGGTATTAAGTACACAATGGAGAGCGTTTCCCCAGCCCTTGAACAAGCAGTACACATATAGTCTCAGTTTGGGCACTGGGGGAATAAGGGACCAACCACAGTAACTCAAAAGTCTTACCAGGCTGTGGCACTGATAGACCCACAGGCTGTATTCTTCATTACTTGGGTCTGTGGTCTTAAGAGCCAGTAAGCTTTTTCCTGCCCCGAGGCCGTCATCATAACACACCATCCGGATGATTAAATACAGAGCATGCCTGTGTAACACGTCCTGCAGAGATCAGGCCGTCAGAGAGGTCCTGGCTGTTTTCAGTATCTCAGTTCTAATGACATTCTCACAGGTGGGACATGGGAGGCTCAGCAGCACATCCTTGGATCTGACAGAAAGCAGCTGTGTGGCATCTCACCCCCCAGGACATGCTGGTGTGGCCAGTTAGGAGGCAGTGTGCTTCAGGCCCACACCTTCCCAACTCAAACCCAGGGCCAGGAACCAGGTCCAGTCTCATCTCTGTCCAGGCTTCCTAGCCAGCTGCTCTTGACTGACACAGGATCCTCAGTTTAAAAAGTCTCACTTTTATAATAGAGTGAAAATCACTCTATTATACTTCTGAGGGGAAACATCAGCAATCTTTCCACATGATACTTTACTGAGATTACTAGTTGCTTATGCTTTGTTGGCATGACTTTAACTTTTATTTATTTATTTTTTGATACCTGGGGTTGGGGTGCTGCGTGTACACAACTTACAAAGGAAGTCCCTGCTCACCCTAAGAAATGGTCCCATTTAAGAACAGCTGCCAGCCACTATGCACACAGGAGACCTAACTGAAAGGCCTGGATTCCCTATTTGCTAAAAAAGTTTTCCTTAATAAATGATATTACTTACATACTGATCTGACGTTGATACTTTTATCCCATACTTGGAAACTCCCATAATAAATTCTTCCTCCAGAGGAACAAAAGGCAACTTTCCATCTTGCTTTAAAGTAGAAATAAAATACGATATACATTAAAGTCTTAGTCACTTAGTATCTGGTTGTCACAACCGCAAGCCCTTTAGCGAATGTGGGGTACACAGTAGACAACTTCTCCCCAAAAAGGCAGAAGAAAAATCTCCCCATCTTTGAACTTTCACAGTCCACAAATTGAGCTCAGTCTACTTCCCACACACTGTTCTACTCCTTTGTCTTGGTGTGAACCCTAATTCCAAACTGAGATATTTCACTGAGGCCGATGAGCTTAAAATGATTACGTAAGAAAATGAAGGTCTTGATTTAGATTTTAAAATACTTAAAAGCTTACATCAGTGCCAGGACATGGACTGATGGGGAAGAGAGGCCACAGAAACCATCCTTCTCATCATTTTCTGTCCTACCTAGAGGGCAAGATGCCAGGCTCTCCCACACCTGGGGCTACAGGAGAGGCTGCCAATGAACATAAACATGTTCATCAGCATTTTGAGCTGTTCAGAAATAAGTGAAATAGCACAGGAGGCCTGAAGACTGCCCTAGCAGATTACCTGGTTTTATATGCCTAATTTGTCTTCACTAAATATTGGCAGTCAGCAGATGTTCTGTACTGTAAATGTTTTTGCAGAACACTGAATCATAGTCAATAACTATCCAAACACCTTAACTGTTGGGCCACTATGATGTTATATTGAAAATTCATATCTCACAGTGAGTTTTAAAAACACTGGATAATAGTAATGCTATTGCTAATAATGGCATTTTAACAAGCAAAAATTCTATGGCTCAGGGCTGGGGCTGGGGCTGGGGCTGAGTGGTAGAGTGCTCTCCTGGCGCGTGTGAGGCACTGGGTTTGATCCTCAGCAACACATAAAAATAAAATAAAGACTATTGTGTCCACCTACAACTAAATATATATATATATATATATATATATATATTCTATGGCTTTATGAGAAATGTAGCAATCCTCATAGAAATGAAAATCACTCTATTATACTTCTGAGGGGAAACATCAGCAATCTTTCCACATGATACTTTACTGGTATTAGTAGTTGCTTATGCTTTGTTGGCATGACTTTAACTTTTATTTATTTTTTTGGAACCAGAGATTGATTCCAGAAGTGCTTAACCACTGAGCCACATCCCTAGCTCTTTTTTATATATTTTATTTAGAAACAGGGTCACATTGAGTTGCTTAGGGCCTCACTAACTTGCTGAGGCTGGCCTTGAATTCACAATCCTGCCTGAGCATCCTGAGCCACTAGGATTACAAGCATGTGCCACTGTGCCTGGCCGGAATGACTTTAAATTCCAAGCTAAGTGCAGGGATAACTAATTGAATTAGTCCAGGCTACCAAGAATTTTCTGTTAAATGGCAAATTAGATTCACTTATTTCCTTCTAGACAGAAATAACTTCCTTTATTTTCATGAAGATATGAGTCATTACATTTAATATCCCCATGATTAAAAAGATTGTGCATACTTAAAATTAACTAACTATGTAAGCCTTGTTTTATCCACTTCCACCTCAGGAGTATACAGATCTTATGACATTTTATGCATTGACTTTATAGCTTTGATTTATCTTCAATTGCATTCTTAATTTTCCTGCATGATATATTTTTGAAACCCACTTCACCTCAATTCTCGTTGAGGAAATAGGGTGTGAAATAAGTAGACATGTTAGGTAAACAGTGCTATGAGTAAGTTTCCAAAGAGATGAAACTAGTTGTGGGGCAAACATCTGCCAGGTTGTTTCAAAGAAAAACCTATAGGGTGGAAGCAGTCACAACTTCTGTTCCTAAATAAGGATGTCGGTCTACACCAGGAAAGTGAAAAGCTCTCTGTGTGAAGGGAGAAACCCTTTCTGTGAAACTTGATCTTCAGGGCATCTTGTATAAACCAGGGCCACCAAGCTCTGGCCCAGGATGACAGCGTACTTCATCAAAAGACAGAAGAGTGCCATCCAGTGACCAAGAGCAAATGTATTATCCAAGGCCATGTCACCAGTTTGGTCTCATAACCACAGGCTTTAAACTGAAAAAAACAATCTTTTTTCTTTTTACCTGGGCAACATCTATATAATTTATCAGGTCTAGTGGTCCTTCCAGGACTTTTCCCTCAGAGAGTTTCAGCTTCTCAATGGCACCAACATACTTTACTCGAAATTCTGCACAAGTATCTAAGTTATTGTTGCTTTGTCCTAAAGGTGAAAAAAAAAAAAAAATTGTGATGATGAGACTTCAAAAGAAATACTTGCTTTGCAGGATTTCCTCAGTCCCTGCCCAAATCAAAAATAGACTTTCATTAGAATATGATCTTTAATTATAAAATTTTAAGATGCAAAATTTCTTGATGTAATAGGGAAGAACTTAACATTTCATTGATTTTTTTTCCTTAGCAACTCACAGTGTACTAAATGTATAAAGACCTCAATATTAGAAATAAAGTAATATTGATAACCTTCATATCAAAGCAATGAATGGGAGAAAGAAAGGTCAACTAGACAACGATTCAATGATTGGGTACTTTTTGGTACTTGAGATTGAACCCAGGGAAGCTAAACCACTGGGCTACATCCTCAGCCCTTTTCTTTAATTTATTTTATTTTGAGACAGGGTCTAATTAAGTTGCTTAGGGCCTTGCTAAATTTCTGAGGCTGGCTTTGAACTTATGATCCTCCTGCTTCAGCCTCCCAAGCCACTGGGATTAGAGGCATGCACAACCATACCCAGCTGATTATTTTTATAATGCATAATGATGCTTATTTTTGGTTTCTATCTCTCTTCACTACAACTTTCTCTCCTGATTCAGGGTATCTGCTCTTTCACTACCATTTAGTCAGAGAAGACCAAGGTTTTGTTTTTTTTTCTTAAAGTAGATGGAATAATGCCAGACAAGAAAGTCCCTCATTACAACAACTGGTGTGCGCTGTAAAATCTAGCCAATACAACTTATTACAAGTGACATATGATACCCTGCTAAGAAAACATTATCTGATTACTTTTAGATTGTGTTGTGTAATAAAAAAATCACGAGATTTTTAAAAACTTAAAAGTGTCTAGAAGTAAAGATAATGGACTTTATGATACAACATTCTCTTTTTTAGATCAATTAGTCTATGACTATGATTCTATTTTAGAAAAGAAAATTAATATAAGTATTTCCAATTAGTTACCAGCTATTTATTTATAGAGCTTGGATAGGAATCACATTTTGATTTCTAAGGAGCTACTATCAGATACCTGCAAACAGTCTGTGAGGATCTGTGATAATTACCTGTATTCCTGCTGGTCATGAGCTAGTATATCTCCAGGTAGCCCTCAAGGTAAATGGCTCTGTAACATTTATCACCAGTATATTTGTCTTGTTCTCATAAACAACCTGAGTCCAGTATAATCCACTCTCTGCCACTCTAGTCCTTAAAATGATATTTTGAAATTCTAAATTATGGCCACATGACGTTTTCAAACATTTTTGCTCTAGGTCCCACAAAGAACACTTTGCACATGTGCCTGAGCCTAGCTCGAGGGCCTGCATTTTCACCAACCACACCACACCCTCAAACTGCATCCCAGCAAATTTTGGTCCATTTCTAAACTCTAGTCAAAAGTGGTAGAGGAAGCACATGTGGTGGTTTTCGCCTGTAATCCCAGGGACTCCGGAGGCTGAAATGGGAGGATAGCTAGTTGGAAGACAGCCTTAGCAAATTAGAAGGCCCTAGGTAACTTAGTGAGACCCTATCTCAAAAAATAAAAAGGACTGGCATGTGGCTCAGTGGTAAATCACCCTGAGTTCAATACCCAGGGCCAAAAAAAAAGGCAGAAGAAAGGAAGAAAACTGGAAATGCGAAAGAACTGCCATCTGGCAAAATATCCAAGCAGAGCCATCGATGCGTGGGGTCATTCCTCTTACGCACCTGAGCTTTTGGTGGAGTCTGTATCGAGGCTGGCCACAGTGCTGGATCGGGACAGGCCCCCAAGGCTGGAATCTACAGACTGAGGAGTGGAGAGCAAGTCAAGAAGAAGCATACACAGTGAGAAGCCCTGAACTCGCTGAATTCCACTACTAAACATATTCACATTATGCTGTTGAGCCAATACATATAAAATCAGGCCAATTATCCAGGCAGACGCACTGGAACAGATTTTCCTGAAGACGTACTCTCCAGCAAACATTAAAAACCACGTCAGTGCAACTGCTCATCCTATCACACAGCACCAGACACAGGTGGCATTGTCATCTTGGTCTAAGCCTAAGCCCTTCCCTCCACCTCCTTTCCAACATGCCTACATTTACGTCCTCCATGAAGATCTGCACCCTGCTTTCCTATTATTTCCACAGAACCTGAAATTAACCCTGTCCAGAAAGCCAGGCAGGGAGTGAGGTTTAACAAACGAGGAAAGAGGCCAGAGGTAAGTGACTGACCCCAGGTCACGTTTGGTAAATCCCTCAGGTCTTGAGTCATTTCTAATGTGGTGTCCACAATAGGGTCTTCCTGCAGCAGTCTCAGGCTCACCAGCAGGCCAGGCCTTAACCACCAGGGTTTACTGACCAACAAACCCTTAGGTCAAAGTTTAAAAATCCTTTACATAGTAGTTTTTCACCAGTGTGCTTCATTTCATAGATGTGTATAAGAAATAAGATCTGGGAAAACTTTCATTCAAAAGGTTTGTTTTGCATAAATTAAACCTATACATGCCTTCAAGCTACTTTTAAAAAGTCTTGTATACAGTTATTAACCAATCTCACTGCTATGTAAACATTGTCATATCCACAACAAATTCTAAAATCCAAGAGATGATACCCCTCATATCTGCAATTTCCATTATTTAAAAAAAAAATTAAATAGTGTTAGTTTCAATGAGACCATTCCTAGTTGTGTCCCATCTAGAGTAATAGATTTAAGAATTTCAGAAAAATCTACCAAGACATAATAAATTAAACAAAAAATGCGTAAAATGGACATGAAGATTCATGCAGTTGGAAGGCTGTGGGAGGCCTGCAAAGTTTATGCCTTTTGTGCAGCTCCAGCTGCAAGAATTCACTTCTCTCTGCTAAGTACGCGGCTCCAGGCCAGGTCCCCTACCTTGCTCTTGGTACTGATTTCACTACTTTGGGAACTGCTACTACTGTGTCGCTTTTTGCCTTTCCGAAACATTTTTCACCATAGCACGTGATCCAGAGAAGAGCCCTAGAAGAACAATGTTAGCAACAGCGACGTCAAGAAAAGCAACATCAGATCACTCTAGGCACTGCAGGAGTAAAAACCAATTCCTCCAACTCTCAGGAGTGCATCCTGAGATGCACTCCTTTACTTAAAATGGAAATACTTTCCCCTGGATACTCTTCTTGTTCATTCTTTTTTCCTATTAAATTGCAAAAAGCTGTGCTGGGTGTAGCTGCGTGGTAGAGGACTTGCCTAGCGTATGTGAGGCCCCAGGTTCAAACCCCAGCACCACGTTAAAAAAAATTATACACATCTAACAATAAGTTGAGAGGCAGAAACACTGTCCTACAGAGAAGCGAGGAAACATAGGTAAGATCGCGGTGCCTTGGCTGTTCAAGTTCAGTTCTCACTCTGGCTGATTCATGACGGGCACAACACGTGCTGAACTGCTCACCACCCAGGTGCTGGGATTCAGTTCCTGCTCCAGGTTCACACCCTATACTTGGTGGGACTAAAACAAGGCACACACCTCTCAGAAATGAGCATTTTTCTTGAAGTCTGGAAAATCTTTTTTATTTTTTAGTTGTACATGGATAGCTTTATTTACTCATTTATTTTTATGTGGTGCTGAGGATTGAACCCAGGACCTTCCATGTGCTAGGCAAGTGCTCTACCACTGAGCCACAACCCCAGACCTGGAAAACACTGACATGAAAACGTTCCCCCCCAACCCTCCCTGCTCCAGTAAGGCCAGGCAAGGAGATGACTTTAAGTGACTCAGAGTCTTGCTACGTGGATCTTTCCTTCCCCACACGTCTATTTTTTTTTTTAATAATACCTTTCAAATGTTAGTGATATCTTCCCATGTCCTGGCAGCAACATTCCCCTTGGAATTTTAAGCTGCAGGATGTTGCAGGTCACAGAACTCCACCATACTGTCTCCTGGGACCTCAGCAACCTGTGGCACATTCACCTGTTCCACAGATGTTCCTAAAGGCCAGGAACATGCCACAGACTGCCTCATGCTCCAGGAAGGGAGGACATAATCTGTATTTTATGGATGTGGGAACTGTGACCCAACTTTCAAGAGAATTTATGAATAAGACAGCCTAACTTATTTTAACCAAAAATCTATCTCTACAGAAAGAACAGGAAATGTGCTTACTGTGGAAGTGAACAGGATTTTATTGTCTTCAAAGGCTCCACAGAGGGCAGTCTGCACCACAGTTTCCTTCCATTCTGACGGTCAAGCCTTTCAGAGGAGCAGTGTACCTGGTGAAGGAACGAGAATGAGGACATCAAAAGCCCCTGGTCTTGCACAGGTTTCTTTGTATTTGGAGACCCCACTCTCAGTCCACTCAGTAGGCCCCTGGCCATGCCTGACCACTGAGCCCAAGCTTTGTATAGTCAGCCTTGTCATCCACTTTCTTTCTATACTTTGCTATATTTATGGAAAAGATTTGATTCAGTCACTCATTCCTGAGTGATTAGTGAGCAACTCATAGGTGCTGGAGGTATATCAGAGACAAAGATCAAGCCTCTGACCTCAAGGGGTATATTTTTAAAAGGAGCAGATAGACCAACAAGAAAAACAAACATAAAATGTATTATTAGAGAACAATAGTTCCTATGAGGAAAGCTGAAGCAGGTTAAGGAGGAGGGAATGTGATCAGAGAAGAGAGGGGGCTGTTTTGGAGTACTGGGACTTGAACATGCATACAAGGGTATCCCACCACTGAGCTACATCTGCACCTCCAACACTGGCTTTTTTAAAAATATTTATTTATTTTTTAGGTGTAGTTGGACACAATACCTTGGTTTTATTTATTTATTTTTATTTGGTGCTGAGGATCGAACCCAGGGCCTCAGACGCGCTAGGCGAGTGCTCTAATGCTGAGTCACAACCCCAGCCTCCCTCCTCCCACACACTGGCTTTTTATTTTTATTTTTTTTAAAGAGAGGGAGAGAGAGAGAGAGAGAGAGAGAGAGAGAGAGAGAGAGAATTTTTTAATATTTATTTTTTAGTTTTCGGCAGACACAACATCTTTGTGGTGCTGAGGATTGAACCCGGGCCGTACGCATGCCAGGGGAGCGCGCTACTGCTTGGGCCACATCCAATTTCTATTTTGAGATAGGGTCTCAACAAGTTGACCAGATTGACCTGGAACTTGCGACCCTCCCTTCAGCTGAAGCCTGAATGAAGAAGGGCAGGTGACTGGTGGAGGAAATGCTCCAGGTATACAGGTGAGCATAAGGAGCCTCAGGAAGTGTGCTGGTATGAGCACAGTATGAGGCCAACGCAGCTAGGGCAGGAGAAACAGAAAACATGACAGAAGGCCTGGCAGGTCACGCGAACAATGTGGTTTGACTTGAGTTTAATAGGAAAACTAGAGGCTTTTAAAAGGCAGTCGGGGGCACGATTAGATTTCTGGTTTTAAAAATTACTCTGGCCACAGGTGGAAAAGTAACTGCATGGGATAAAAGCAAAACAGAGAGGTTAGATGGCTATTGCAGGAAGCTTCAGAGGACAGCTTTTCAGTAAGGGAGAAATGGCAGGAGAGCCTTATTCCCAGATCCACACAAAACTGGGTTAATGAAGCAGCATAAAGTACATAAAGTAAGTGGTCTTTAGCAGGTTAAAATGTTCGTATGTAACATTTAAACACAGGAGCCCTGTGGACACCAAAATCCCCCAATGCTCAAGCCCTTGATGCAAAGCAACACAGTACCTACACATTACCTATGTGTCTCCCCTCCCTGTACACTTTAAATCATCTCTAAATTACTTAGCATGCCTAATATATGATGTAAATGCTAGGGGAGTAGTGGTTATACCATATTATTTAGGGAAAAATGTCAAGAAAGTCTTACATGGTCAGTAATATGCAATATTTTGCAAATGTTTTCAATCTGGGGTTGGCTGAATCCAAAAATGTGGAACTCATGGACATGGAGAGCTGACTACACATATATACACATATTTTTATAAAGGCACTCCTGTAATGCCTTTGCAACTCCATAAGACTTGCTTTTCAACTTCGATCCAGGAGCTTAGCGCGGAGGTGGGGGGGGGGAGCACTTTGATATCTACTGCCATTTTGATGCATGTTCTTAAGAAAAACATTCTTGCCTTTAAATTACTCTTGCATAAAAATGAGGCCAAAGATACTGATTGTCACTTGGATGTTCCACAGGCTCATTAAATGCACAAAAATGTCTAAAGCTGAACACATCATCTTCCCCTCCAGATCTGCTCCTCCCTCACTTCTCCCTCTTAAGAAATTATATTATTGCTGGTAGCAACCAGGAAATCCACTCACTGTCCTTCAGTTCCCACATCTAATCAGGCACCAAGATCCCTTGTTTATACCTGCAGAGTTCTCTAATCCAGCTCTAGAACAGGCTCCACATCATCACTAGATAACTACACAGCTAATTTTTCAACATCCAATGGAAGTGGTAGATCCTCAACCTACAAAATGTGCAAGTATACAGGGTGTGGAATATAATTTAAAGAATCCACAAACCTACTGAGGATATTTCATGGATAAGTGGACTTGTCCTATGGGACTCCTTGCCACTCTAAATCTACCAAGACACTTCAGCCAAAAGGATTAAAATAATTTCTTTCAAACACAAATCTGAGACTACTAGCATGCTTGAAATGTTAGAGACTAAAGTCACAGTTCTTCCTCAGGACATGCATGGACCTCCATGACCCATTCCTCCCTGCATTTTCCACTGCACCTGTAGTTCATCTCTCAGCCATGCAAAGCTGCCTTGATTCTCCATAGCACTATGCTCCATGTTCCCACACTTTGCTCCCACATTTTCTCACTTGAAATGCTCCTCACATTTTAGTTACTGGCTATTATTTTTCATTTCAGGCTGCTTCTTTTCTAAAAAACCTCGGCTCTCCAGGTTGAGTTAAGGGACTCAGAGCATGAACATACACCTAATCACAGCATTCCGAACTGCTACCACTTATAATTCTATCTCCAAAGTAGCCAAAGACAGGGCTGTTACTCTCTGTACACCCACCGAGCAACAGTGGACTTGCTCTGTACACCCACCGAACAACAGTGGACCAGTTCATGAAGCCAAGAACTGGTTAGAGCTACAGGAACCGCTAACCCTTCACCTGACCACCACTGTTATAGTAGGACAACGTGTTCACAAGAGGTCGCCAAGGCGCCAAGAGAGCCAGTGACGTGCCCAAGGTCACCAGGCTAAGAGCTGACAGGCCAAGTTTGGGACCTAGACAGAGCCAGCTTCAAAGCTCTTTCTAGACACCCACCTGCGTCGTACATGTCACCGGTGCAAAGGATGCAACAGTAAACGACAGAACCCTTGCCCGACTGTAGCGATGCCAAGGGGAGAAGGGCACGCGCGAGAAGGCAGTGCGCTTCTCGCCTCGCTCTGCCCCGGGCACCGCGGACCTGGCCCAGGAACGGCCCACAGCTCGGCGCTCCGGCCCCGGCGCCCTCGGCCGCTCAGCACAACAGAACCGACCTCTGGCATCCTCCCTCGCCCAGCCGCTCCCCGGCCCGGGTGCCCGCATCTAGGACCTCCGAGGGAGGGCGGGTCCCCACGACACCACAGACTCCCCAGGGCCCCACCCATCCGTCCCGACAGCCGGCGCCGCCCTCGCGCCGCGTTCCCGCCACCGCCCGAGAGCCCGGCCCTGAACCCCGGGGCTCTCACCTCGCGGCCGTGGGCCCAACCCCGGGCCGCCTGCGCCTCACAGGGAGTTGGAGTTGGAGCGCCCAGCCGACAGCACCCACGCGGGTACTCCAGTTCTAATTCCAGCGCCACCTTTTCCAGCCCTCCTGCCCTCTTCTGCCAGGCCCCGCCCCCGAGGCGGTGCGCAGGCGCGGATTTCAGGGCCCGCCCCAGGTTCCTGGGCTCCGCGCGGCGCGGAACCCCGGAGGCGGCACCCCCCACCCCCCGCCAGCACTCCGGCCGGAAGTCGAGGGGAGGGGCCTCGTGCCGCGGGCGCCAGAGTGGCGGAAGCTGCCTCTGGATGGATGGGGTTTTCCTTGTGTAGTTGCTGTGGCTGTGCTTGTAATTCAGAAAGACTCCGGCGGCGTGTCCCTCACCCGCGCTCCTCCTCAGACTTCCAGGATGTCTGCGATTCCTGCAGAAGAGAGCGACCAGCTGCTGATCCGACCCCTGTAAGGGACCAGCGAGACCGAGCGTGAAGCCGCAGGCCCAGTGAGAGCGAGCCGGGCTTCGAGCCGGGCTCCGGGCCGGCCCCGTCGCCCCCACTCCAGCCTGCGGCCGCCGGTCCTCGCCCGCAGCTGCGGGCCAGGCCGGCCAGGCCCCAGGGGTTTGGAGCGCTGTTGGTCGGAAATGGCCTGCTAGGTTGAATGGGAATTTGCGTTGCTTCAGTCTTAGGGGAGGGTATGTTGGGGTTAAAAAAAAAAATTATTTCATCCCGCCGCGTGCCTTCAAGTAAGAAGGGTTATGTGCACCTACCCGCACCTCGCACATCAGGGCAGGCCGAGAGGGAACCGACCGTGACGGGGGGGGGGGGGGGGGGG